AAAAAAAAAAAAAAAAAAAAAAAAAGACTATATGTAATGTTTCTTCAATGATCTAAGATAAATCTTTAAGGCTGTTGAGGTTTTTTGTATACAAAATGGAGAGTAAGTTTTTAATGGAATGTGACAAAATGAGACTTACAGGTAAGTTTAATTTGAATTCTCATCCTCTTGACATTTAGCTGATTTGTAACAACAGATATGGTCCAATGCCTGCTTTTCTATTGTCTCTGGTTCCATCCACTAGTGCCTGTATCACACACCTTTTGTTCAGGTTTTATCATTTAAAATAAATAAGAATAAACAGTCCATAACTTATCTTACTTACTGAATAAATGTTTTAATTTGACAGTCATGTTTCTTAAAGTTCCTTACAAAAACCATTGCCTAAGAAACCAAATAATTCCATTATACTATTTTTGAAATAGAACACAAAATGGGAATTTTAAGTTCAATTTCTTATGTAAATAATAACTTCTATGTACATGTTAAAAATGCCTGTATATACCTAGTTTGACCATGTATGTATAGTAGAAATGAAAACAGTTACTAAGAAAATTTGGTATTGGCTCCAAATTTTCCGAATAAAGTGTATTCTAATGCTCAGTTGTAATACAGGGTTTCATGTATTAGTTTGTGTATTCATGGTTAAAAATGTGAAGACTGTTATATCTTCATTTGTGGCTTTTGGTATTATTTGGTTGTATTTTATTGTGTGATATGGTGGTATAATTATTCTTACCTCCCAGGAGTCTGAGAGAGTCTTGCCAGTTAACCGCAGAATTAAACATGCTTAGGACTAATTAATCAGGAGCAATACTACAATTAGTTGGAGGTAATTTGAAACCTGCTATCAAATAACCCTGATATTATGCACACATGGTGCACACTTTTGTAGTAGACATTTAATGAAAGTAATTTAAAACCTCCCTTTGAAGGATGAAAAACTTTGCCTTAAATGCTCTATTCTGTGAAAGTGTCAACATTCATGCAAATACAGTCTAAATTCAGACTTTGAAAATGTATTGAAAGAGAGGATCATGAAATAAGTTAGAGCTGAGTGACTAAGCTTTCTGGGTGTTTAAAAGAATGTTTTACCTAATAAGTATCTGAAATGTATTTGCAGCCACATTTGTTTAAAGAACCATATAAATATGTAGCACTGTTCATGTGAAGTTCAATGATAGGAAAATGCTGACACCCCTTGTGGAACTGTGGTTATTATTATTTTATGAATAGAGCCAATTTCAAACACCTATTAGAGTCTTCTCAGGAACCTTTTATAGAATGCATCTGGAGCCTTATGTTATCGCTAAGCATTTTAGGATTTGTCTTCTTGGAAATTCGTGTAACCAAACCATCACGTGTTATTTCAAGTGTATAGAGTATTGGGTTACAGTTTACTGTGTTTTCAGAAGGTCGTAACAACTGTTAGACTTACAGAGAATGACTTCTCTGCCACTAATGGTTTTCTAAAGTGAATAGAGAGGGGCGAGGATTGAATTCTTCGCTGAAGCTGGGTGATTTTGTTTTATTCAATACAGTTTAATAAGTATAAAAAGTAGAACCTATGGAGAGCTATAATGGGGGTAGTTTTAAAGAAATTCTGAAAATGAAAAGTTTAAGTAAAGGTTTAGTTCATTGTTTATTTCACACTGAGCATTTACTACCTGAATGTTTTGGACATTTTCTTTCCATGAGTAGAGTGGACACTTTTAAAATTCACTGGGTTCTTTTGCTGTTCTTTCTCTAGAAGAGCATAGCTGAGAGCAGGATTCTGCCTCTCATGACGATTGGCATGCACTTATCCCAAGCGGTGAAAGCTGGCTGCCCCCTTGATTTGGAGCGAGCAGGTCTTACTCCAGAGGTTCAGAAGATTATTGCTGATGTTATCCGAAACCCTCCCGTCAACTCAGGTGAGAAGCATGGCCTGCCTCTGCACCCTTAATGACTTGATGAAGTAAACAAGCAATCTACTAATATTTTTCGCTTTTAACAGCACTAATCCTTTATGCTATTATGAAAACCTTTTGTGATTCTTTTTCTTGTTTTAGGAAAACAGTCTTTCTTCCCATTGTCACTCAGAGGAAAATATACTGAGAAATTCTTTTGTTTTGTTTGTTTTTTTGAGACAGAGTCTTGCTCTGTTGCCTAGGCTGGAGTGCAGTGGCGTGATCTTGGCTCACTGCA